TGGCAGCACCCGTCACCATCCGCGGCCCCCCAACTCTGTCTCCAAGCCCTGCACCCAGAAGGGGTGTTCCGCCCTGCTTCCGGGGCCCTTCCCGGGTCCCAGCCCCCCCGGCCCGCCCCAGTGGCTCCTCTTCGCACTTGGGTCCCTAGACCCCAGAAGTGGGTCCCCCAAGTTGCTAACATCCCTGCGCTTCATGGAACATCGCGGGCCACGATAGACTCCGAATTCCCCCCTCACTTTTAAGGCACCCCTCCCCGTCCCCTCTCCCCGTCCTTTCTCCAAGCGTGTGCGGCGGCTCTCGTTACCCTCGGCTCCCGTGCAGCCTCGGGACCCCACCTCTCCTCCCCTCCCGCTTCCTGCCCGCCGGAACCCCCTTGCCGCCTCTGCTCCCTCTTCCTCGCTCCGTGAGGCCCTTTCTCCGGGGCGCGGGCAGCGGGAGACGCCAGCGGGATTCCTCCTCCCCCCCGCCCCCGCCCCCAGCCGGGATCTCTGGGCTTGGGTGACAAAAAATGTTGGCGATGGCATTTAGAGTCGCTCTCATCCCTGGCGTGGGGCAGGCAACGGCTGCCTTCCGCCCCCCTCCCCCCGCCTCCCGATTTTCCCGAGCCCGACCCTCGCCTCTAACCCGTTTCCTGCTTCTGCCGACCACATTGTTTTCCTGGATGTGTCCCTGTGTCCCTTGCCGAGCAGGCTTTTTCCTGCAGATCCACCCCCGCCCCCCCAACCTTTCGCTGCCAAGGGAAGCTAGTAACCAAAAACAAAACAACTGGGAGGAGGGGCGGCAGGGGAAGAAAAGTTGTGCCCGGGTGGCTTGTCCCTTCACGGCTTTGATCCCCTTTGATGTCCAGGGAGTTGCCCCGCTGGGGGTCAGGGGCCGCGGCGGAGGCTGGGCAGGGAGGGCTCCCTCCGGCTGGCCGCTGCCCAGCGCTGCTGGGGTTCGGGAGGCCGCCGAGGTGCCGCAGTCCCCGCCCGGAGCCCCGCGTTCCCGCCGCAGTCCCCACCCGGAGCCTGCGCAGGCGGCTGCTCCAAAGTGTTCTCTTGCAGCCTTAAAACAAAATCCGGAGGGAGCTTCCTTCCTCCCCACGTCGCCTGGCCGAGCTCTCCTGGCCGGGCGGCGTTGGTCGGAGATGAATGGGCCTGGGCCGGGCTGGGAGTGTCGCCCTCGACCCCACCCCCGCAGCGATTAGAATCTGCTCTGGAGCTGATCACCCCCTCCCCTGATCCCTGCATTTACAGGCAAGTGAACCGGAGCAAACGACTTCCGATCCAGTCCGTGCTGCTGCGGCTCCCGTTTGGGATTTGATTTGCAGCATCTTCGAGCCTGTGCAACAAAAAACCGCGAAGCACGCCCAGTCCTCCAACCGGCACCCCGATACGCACCCACTCCCTCCTGGGGACTCTGCTGGGCGCGTCCACACCCCCGCACCCCTCACACCATGTTGTGCGGATGGACTTGCACTCGCTGCCTGTGTCGTTGATGTCAGACCCCAGGCCAACCTCCGGGCGCTGCAGTTCTCCTGGCTAATGCTGAGCCTGCGGCTCGGGCTCTAGCACAGGAACCAGCCCCTCCCGCGCCCGGCCCCAGAGCCCACCGTCTGCATGTGCCCGCCGTAGCTGCCTGCCTAGCCCGCAGCCCGCGCTCCCCGGAGCGCTGGAGACCACCGCGGTGGGCCCCTTCTGCCTTCAGGAGACGCGGTCTTGGAGGTATTGATTTAGGTGGTTGGATTTTTCCCGTGGATCTATCAATTCACAATTCGAATTTGGAAGAAAGAAGGAAAACATGACGTCTCCGGCCAAATTCAAAAAGGATAAGGAGATCATAGCAGAGTACGATACTCAGGTCAAAGGTAAGGGCTTGGAAAAATAGCGTAATGCATATGCTGGGTTGGCCATTGAGGCAATGGATTTCCACCCTGATTTGCAGGAGGTTCGTTTCTTTGGGTGGAGCAGGTGGGGGCAGGCCGACCCCAGAGGTGGTTTCATAGGTGGATCTGAGCCTCTGAGAGATGGGCAGTGCCAGGGGCTACAGGCTCAGGAAAGGGATTTTCAGGGTGGGCTTCAGGGTTTGTTCTTGTAGAGCTGGCCCTTTTTTTTGTCAGCCCTTTCTCCCAAGCTGGAAAGGGTGGGGGGAGGGGCGGGAGGTTCTTGGAGAGAGAAAGGCGGCAATTTGCCTCTGGTTGTCTGGGTCAGGTTTCTTGAAGGACTACTGAAATCTGACAGGTGTTAGGGAATTTATTGCCGAGGTTGGAGTTGAGGCCAGGCAGAGAAAGGCAACCTTGAGAATGTGTATCTTTTGGAGAGCCCTGAGCGAGGTGGGTTTTTTTCTGATGTACTCTATCCAAACGAGACATTAGCTATGGCATCAGACACAGAGTCGGTAGCCACTTTGGATGCACCTTGTGCCTGCGTGGTCTCTGGTTGCCCTGCATTCAGCCACAGATCAGAGAACAGAAGAATAAGGTCACCCACACTCCGTCTCCGCCCTCGCCTAAACCTGAATGGAGTTGGGGTGTTAGGCTTGCTGGGTGGTGCTGATTCTGGAGGATGGGAAGACATAATTGTTTAATTTTCTGCATGGTCACCCTCTGCTCTGAAATACATGCTTTTAATGACCCACTTATCTGCAAAAATATGAAGGGTAAAGCGAAATGTGGATCTGAAGAAACCAAAGGACCTGTCTTCACATCTAGTGGACGTGGATTGGGAGAGGTGTGGTTGTGAATCAAAGCCCTTTTTCTTTTTGAAACCAGCAATTCCTCTAGGAGGTGTTTCCCCCTGATTAGGGGCCCCAGCATGTGTTGGTGCAAGGCCCTGTCCCTTCCTGGCTGGTGACTGGGAAGAGCCATGTGGCTCCAGCCCATTGAGACCTCCTCAGCTGGGGATGGGAGAGGTGGGTGGCCTTGAATGTTCCACCACATGGTTGGAGCTCTGGGTTTTCCTTTGTTTCAGAGTCCCCGCCTTTCCCTGCACCAATTCAAGGAGACCTTTTCCTGTCATAGAAGACTTGGAAAGGGCCATGTCTCCCCTCCAATGATTGCCTGGGGTGGGGTAGAGCGAAGAGTTTGAAATGGGCAGCTGTCTAATACCTCAGAAGGTTGGAGGTAGTTTGAAGTCCCCATTGTGCCTGTGGGATCTTCTTCATGTCATCAGCTTGGTCAATGCTGGAGGTACCCTGAGAGACCTTCTCTCCATTTGGCTGCAAATATTGGTGGGTTTATGACAGAAGATGGGGGAGTTGACTGATGGATAGCTTCAGTTGAATTGAGATTGGGAGAGGTGTGGTTGTGAATGGTAATTGAGGTCTTGGCCTCTTGTCCCTGTTCATAACCCAAGCCTGTTTTTGTAAACAATAGGCCACTACCTTCATGTCCTGTCCAGATGCACTGCATTCTGCTTCTGGAATTCCCTCCCACCCCCCACCCTTCGCCCCTGCAGTTTTAACCAGATATGTCATTCTTTTTTACTTCTTTTTTTACACATCCTCTTCTTAACTGTTGCCATAGGGAGCGTGAATAACTTTGACTTTAACAGATTTCTCTCCAGAAGCATGCCGTTTGACTAAGGGGCAAAATGATTTTACATGTTTATTTTTTGGAAGGTTCAGGGTTGATAGGTGTTAATAGAACTGTATCTGCTGATTCCTTAATGGTGAAGGATTTCTCACGAATGTCTCAAAATTAAACACTTTGTGTATATACCAACGTTGCTTCTTGAGGTGATGTAATGAAGTTGGCTATTTGGGATTTCTCCTTCACCTTGCCACAAGCAGGGGACTGCTTTGCTTTGCTCTGATATTTTCTCATCGACACTATTCATAGATTTTATAGGTGGCTGAGCATGATGTCTCATTCAGAGAAGGTGCCCAATAAATGCTTATGAAACTGATTTGAATGTTTTAGTCCCTCATTTTATAGCTGAGACGAGGATAGAAAAATTAAGAGGCTTGTCCAAGGTCATGCAGCTAGGCAGTGGCAGATTTGAAACTAGAAGCAGGTTACCAACTCCTACTTCTTTATTTTATTATATTCATATTTACTATGAAACATTATCTGACCACTGTAGGGGGTGTGTGTGAAATCTCAGGAAGTCAAAATTTGTCAGTGAGTAATAGTAATAATATGATAATAATAGATTACGTTTTGGGTGCTCAGTATATTCCAGCCTGTCACAAGTGCTGTATAAGAATTGTCTCATTTAATTCTCATATCAACTCTGGAGGTGGATATTATTTCATTCTCTATTTGTTGCACGAAGAAACAGGTTTAGCGAGGACAACAAGCTCCCCGACTCCCAAGGTCACCCAGCAGATTGACTCCATTCCTTTATTCATCACCTATTTATTGAGCGCCTTCCATGTGTTCTGGGAGTGGCCATGTAGCAGTCAACAAGCCAAAATCTCCTCCCATTTGGAGCTTACATTCTAGAGCCCTTGTTCTCCATGGAAGAGCATCGATCTTGGAGACAAAGGATGTGGGTTCTGGGTTAGCTCCTCTCCCCCCATTAGCTAGAAGCCCTTATCAGAATATGACTTTCCTGGGACTCATAGCGCTGCCAGTCTTACTTCTCTTAGAGATGCCAACATAATAAAGAAAATTGCTATTTTGGTGTGGTGGTTAAGATCACAAGTTTTTGAGTCTAAGGCAGCCGTGGGCAAACTACGGCCCGCGGGTCGAATCCGGCCCGTTTGAAATGAATAAAACTAATGAAAAAAGACCGTACCCTTTTATGTAATGATGTTTACTTTGAATTTATATTAGTTCACACAAACACTCCATCCATGCTTTTGTTCCGGCCCCCCGGTCCAGGTTAAGAACCCATTGTGGCCCTCGAGTCAAAAAGTTTGCCCACCCCGGGTCTAAGGGATCCAGGTTAAATCTCAGTTCTGCCACTCGCTTGCCTTGCACCTTGGGCCAGTTGCATGACTTGCCTGAGCCTCAGTTTCCTAATTTGGAAAATAATGTGTATTTGCTAAGGTCGTTATTAGGATTCTATGAGATAGTACATAAAACTCATTTAGCACAGTCTCTGGCACTTGTAAGGAAGTGCTTAGCAATAGCACAGTCTGCTTTCTGTTAGCTAACCTTTCCTCTTGTTGACCTGTTTGCCTATGCATTCCCAAAGGGCCTGCTGTTAAATGATAGGAATGAAACTTGAGTTCTCGTTAATTTCTCCCATAATAGCCAAATGTACCTTGGGCCAGTTACTTAAACCCTCTAGGACCAGCCATTTTCAACCTTTTTCATCCCATGGCACACATAACTAATTACTAAAATTCTGTGGCACACCAAAAATATATATATTCTTTTGCCAATCTGACAAAACAAAAAAAGTGTAATTTTCATTCATGCACACCGGATGGCTATTATTCTGTTGGCTGTTGTTATTTCTTAATTTGACAATCTAAGGGAAAAGAAGTCAGTGCCCCTGACTAAATAGTTAGGTATTGCTTGCTTTAAAAATTCTTGTGCCACACCAGTGTGCTGCGGCACACCGGTTGAAAAATCGCTGTTCTGGACCTACAAAACAAAGAGGTACACTGTCTAATTGTTGGCATCTATGTATCTGACCACAGTCCTGGGTCCTGCTTTTCAATCAGAATGGTTTGAATCAAGTGAACTCTAAATGGACTTTTGGGACCCAGTCTATCTCACGATTTTGCCTCCCTTTAAACCACTTGCTTGCATGTCCCCTAAAGGACTTCTGAGGCTGCAGGCCTAACCCTGTCCCATCTGCTTTTCTGAGGGGCTTGCCTTCTCGGTCAGTCTGCCTCGTAGCCGCCTTCTTAAAAACCATCATTGTTTCTGGTTGTGGGTGTTCGGATTCCTTTGAAAGTTCATGCCTCTCAATGTCTGACTTGAGAGCAATAATATTCTTGGTGCTTTTACGTGATTCTTTCCAATTTACAAAGCTCTTTCACATACATGAATCTCTGCAAATTCCTGACAGCCCTGGTCAGATTCATGGCCTCTAGCCTATTAGCCTCTTTGGGGATTGGAGCAGTGGAAGGGGGTAAGGTGCATGGTTCCAGAGGCAATAATCTGGGTGGGTTCATATCACTGCATACAGTCCCAGCCATTGTCTTGTCTTTATTCAAGACTCTCATTCCTTTACCCCCTCCATACCTTGAGTTTTTACAGTCCCCAGAAAGGCTTGAGATTGACAGTTCATGCAAATATTCCAGGAGAAATAATCCGAAACGGAGTGGTACTGTGCTGAGCAGTCAAATTCTCTCTCTGCAGAACATTAGGGGTCTTGTCTTTTTTTTTTTTTTTTTTTTTTTTTTTTTATGTCTTAGAAGAACAGTGGGTGCGCACCGCACCATGGAGCTGAGAAGTGAAATTTTGTAATTTCCATCTGGAGCATTTTGATAGAAAAGCCTCAGGCCTTTGCCTGGAACAATTTAACTCTTTCAGGACCCTTTCGGAGCAGGGGATGAAATTTAAAACTAGACATATTGTGTGTGCACAGGCATTTGGGAATGTGGATTGCTGGTATTTAAACAACTCGCTCCCTTGGGAGATCTGAGCGGTTCTTCACTCGTGTCAGTGAAGGTCTTCTCCGGAGCTTCTTTCCTCCCAGCCCCCACCCCCCAAGGGAGCTTTAAATATAATCAGTTTGTGAAAAGCTACGGTAAAATATCTCATTGGAGTCCCCACGCAGATGCTGTCATCTTCCTGTGAGCTGATTGAAGGCTCCTCTCCCCTTGCTCAGGGAAAACAGGAGTCTGCAGGCAGGTGAATTCCTGGAAGAAAATGAAGCTCTTGGAAAAATTCAAGTGTTCTCTGTCTCAGCGTTGAAGGACCCTGGAGGAAGGTGGTGGGCAAGGAGCTGGGGATGCTGTCTGCTG